CACACACACACACACACACACACACACACACACACACGAGACCCTATCCTCCCTGGGTCTGGTCTCCTCTGAGACACCACCACCACCTGTTTACAAAGCCTCCCCTTTCTCTTGCCCTCTTTCCCACTAGCTTTTATTTTTTTCTTGCTGTCCTTTTGGGTTTCTTCTGTCTCACTGCCTCTCTCCTTTTCCCTTTCCCAGTGTCTGGCCACTCTGCTCCCCAGTTCATTCTCCCTCTGTCTTCCTCTGTCCCCCTTCTGTGTCCCTACAGCATTTCCAGTCCAGGATAAACGTCCCCTCCTTGACCAAGACCAGCCAGCAAATCCTGTCATGGCTGGAACTAGCCAGCTGATTTCAGGGTGGCTGCAGCTGGGACCCAGGGCAGCGCTTCCCTTGCTCCTGGCTACCTCGGTCTTTGTCACCTCTGCCTGTGTCTGTGCCACTGTCCTGCACTCAGCAGCAGCCCCTTGCATTCCTACCTCACCTTCTGCTTTGTTCTCTGGGCCTGTACTTTCTGCCTGTACACTTCATCTCCCCCCTCTGTCTCAGCTTTATCTCTCTGGGTTTCCATCTCCCTCCCCAGGCCTCACTGCTGTGGGCAGCAGAACCCTGACTGCTGAATAATGCAGCCTCACTGCAAGCAGGAGGTACCCAGAAGGGCTGGATTGAAGCATAACTGGGGATCACGGGGCTACCAGCTCAGGTGTAGGGAGGGGCAGAGAAGGGGGGCTCTCCACCAGCCCCCCACCCACCCAGTTTTCCCTTCCTTCACTTCCTCTGCCTGCTTCCCTCTCCTCTCCTCTCCTGTTTACTCTCCCCAAATGTGTGCAAGCTGTTATCATGGGTCCTGAGTCATCCCACACACAGGCTGCCCCAGCATCCCTGCCCCAGCCAGCCACAGGGCCCGCCCCACTGAGCCCCCTGCCGCCCCAGGCTAATGGGAGCCAGATGGCTGCCTGTGACTCAGCCATGGCCTGTGGGAACCCAGGCGTCCCACCTTCCCATGCCCTGCGCAGGGCCCTACTCTCCCAGCAGACACAGAAGGTGGTGGCCACTGGGCAGGGGGGAGGCAAAGCTGGGCCCTGAAACCCCTCAGCCCTGTGAGACAGACAGTGGCATCCTGCCCTGTCCATGCCTGAAGAACATTCAGAAGCACCTCCTGAATGACCCCAGGCCTGGACTCTGCCCCTCAGTCAACTGGAATCAAAACCAGACAGGCAAGTGAAAGCTGGAAGGAGACAGAGGGATGCACAGCTGGAGGGATTATTACATAGTGAAAGCTTCAAGTGCAGAGCAGCTCCATCCTGTGCTAGGCCAGAGAGAGAAGCCTGACACCATGAGGCGGGCTCTAACAGCTCTCAAGCTAGAGGCCATCAACACTGTTTCCCAGGTGCCACGGGAGGCCCTGGCAGAGACGTGCTTCCCGAGGCCTCTTGGCCTCAGAGGCTCACCTGGGATGAGAACCAAGTGCTACAAACCTCTATGAGCAGGCATGTCAGATGTGAGGCCACGCTGAGCTGGACAGGGGCAGAGGGACAGAGATGGGAGGACTTAAGAGGTGGCAAGTGTTTAGGAGGATGGCTAGCATGCTGCCAGGTGGGACCAAGCCATCTCGTGTCAGTCAGTGCTCAGCTGCTGGTGCTGGGTCGCCACTGTCCTGGGAAGAGAAACATTCGATACTGCTGACTCCAGGTACCAGAGCAGGATACAGCCTGGGGCTGAAGATGGTCTGGACAGATCTCCAGGATTGAGGACATTTACCTCAGATACTCACATTTGTGACCCCGGGAACAGCTGTCAGTTATTGGTGATATGCTCTTCTGACCGGTCTTTCATTCAGTCATTAAATTGTTTATTGTAAACTTTGCCATACATAAATTCGGTTATGTAACTTTTTAAGAGATGAGAGGCATAGCAATTGAGTCAGAATCAGGGTTAGTCAGATGGCTGAGACGGAGTGTCTGTAGCTGAGACAGGGGTGGAGCCCGCCACAGGGACAGGGATTAGATGAGGAGACAGGAAGGGAGGTGGAGACAGACACGGAGAGGCACACCCCCTGGGTGCAGTCTCCAAGCAGCCCCCACAGTTCTGGGGTTGGGGTGGCTGGAGAGGCTGAATCAAGGGGGAAGGCCCAGCTGAAAAAGGGCCCCTCTGAGTGCAACCAGCCCCCGCCTCCCTTGTCTGCTGTGTTGTGGCCCTGGCAGCGTGTTGCTGGCTGCCACCCCACCCCCTTGTCCCACACCTCTGTGCATCCTGCCAGAGCTGAGCCAGCTCCTCCTCCCTCGGCTCCTTTCTCTGCCTGTCCCTCACTGTCTTTTGCTTCTCCCTATTTCCTTTTGATCCTCTGCCTCTGTGCCATGTTCCCGTTCTGGTCTCTTCTCCACCTCTGGCTGTCAGGACTCTATCTGCCTGTTCCTGAGCTCCCAAGCCCTTGCTTCTCCCTCAGTTTCCCAGGGCCTCTGCCCACTGTCCCTACTCTCACTCTTCTGTCCTTGTCATTTCTCGCCTCTGCTCCAGCCACTGCCTTAGTAACCCTGTTTCCCATCCGGCTCTCCCTCCTCCCCTTGCCTTAGCCCTCATTTTTTCCTGTCCTCACTGCTGCCATCTCTGTCTCCCAGACTGGGGGAAGGCCATCTGGGACATCCAGCGCAGAGCTCCACTGGTGGCCCCTGGGAGCCCAGAATGAGGGGTCATCGCCTCGCCTCCACCTGGGAGGGGACAACAAGACTGGGCCTGTCTGACCAGAAGGAAATGTCTGTGCTGTGGCCTGGTCACCCCCGCCCCCAGGACCTGCTGGGTTGCTGCCGCCCCCAGCCTGGGGCCGAGTAAACACAGCCGCTGGCAGCCTGAGGATATTTATACCGAGGCTGGGCGCAAGGCCAGTGCCCACCACAGCCCCTGCCCTGCCTGCTGCCACAGCCAGCCCTAAGCCAGCGTGGCACCAGGCAGCAAGAGATGCCACAGACACAGCCTCCACTCACTTAGCACAGAAGACACATAAGGTTCCACTTCCCTGAAGATACCGGCACACAACACAGCCCTACACCTACCTCCAGTGTCCTCAGAGATGGCCCATGTAGTTCGTTACACAATGAAGACACTAGGCTGTAGGTGGGGACACCAGCGAGACTCCTGCTGCAAAACACCCACATGGGTTGAAAACAGTCCTGGGGTAGACACACACACAGGCCACACCTAGAAATCCAGCCTGTCATACACATGCTGGGAGAACCACAGTGAGCATGCCAGTAAAACACCACACAGATGTGGGAAACAAAAGCACTCGGCATACCAGCAGTGCAAGCACTGATCACGAAACCGAGGGCGTAGGGTGCCGCTGAATGGCCCGGTGCTCGCCTGGTCTGTGTGAGGCCTTGGTTCAATCCCAGCAGCACCACCACCACCCCAAAAGCAGCAACCAAGAAACAACTCACCTACAGACACACAAACACTGGCAACACACATGCACCATGACGATTCACAGGGAAGAAAATAATACCTCCTGGGAAACATCTTTCTCACACACCCGTAAACACACAGAAGGGCCAGCCAAATAGCTCTGCAAATTAAAGCACCTGCAAGCAGGCGCAGGGGCTGGGCGTTTGATCCCCAGATCTGCCGTGCCAGCCCTGCCCCTGGGGTGCACTGAGACAGCAATTGAGATGCTGTGGTGGTGCACGCCTGTAATCCTAGCTCTTGGGAGGCTGTAAACAGGCGGATCGCTGCGAGTCCTATCTAGTAGTGAGACCCTGAACACCCTGTAGACCTTTCCCTAAATTACCAAAACAAAAAACCAGAAACACATTTCAAGTCAGACATACACTAAGAAAGCACAAATTTATGCCAAGAGCATAACGGAAAAGATGTTGAGAAAAATTTAGATACTTGGTGCATCATGGATGTGCAACCCACTGGTACATACTGACTCAGCAGTTGAACAGTGCTAGAATCCACAGAAAGTACCCCTGCCTGTCTAGCAGAAACACAGAAAACCAAAAACGGCCAAACACGTGCTGGGAACACAGCCCCACTGACAGTGCCATCCAATTGGGTGTTAAGAGCACAACACCCACGCCAGAGAGCACTACCCCCAAAGCTGCAAACACACATGCTGAACACCTCAATATTCACACTAGAAGCAACACACCAGCACTCCTAATGTCCACAGATTTAGGGGAAAGGAGGTTCCTTGTGCACCCCGGCCCCTCCCCTTCTCTCAGGTCTACCCCTCCTCAGGTTTGTCTGTCCATCTGGGAGGGGGCTGAAAGGCCTACATTGGCCTCTTGTCTACTTCCTGCTATGGAGGCTGGACGGGAAACCCAGGCTCCAGCCGGAACCCAGGCTCCCCCCACGACTTCCCCCAATGGCTCAGGCTGCTGGCGGGGTGGGGCGGGGCCTAAGTAGTGAATGCACCCCAACTCCTACCCCTGTGGACACCGTGAGGCAGACGTGTCCTGACGACCAGGCCACCCAGCGATCCGGGTGCCAGGGTGGCAGGACCTGGCCGAAACAGAGCACACACTCTGCATTTCCCCTGCTGCTGCCCTTGGGATCCATGCCAGCTCAGCAGGGCTGGGAGCCTCAGCAGGTGGGCGGGCTGTGTCACTCGAAGGGGAGGCTGCCCTGTGGTGCCAGCACTTGTCCTCAGGCCTCACCCAGCCTCAGGGCCACAGTGATCCTGGGAGGTGTGTCTGTCTGGGGCTGTGGGTCACAGTTCTGTGGAACTCCTGAGGCTAAAAGTGGTGGTGGGAGTGATATATAGGACAGTGGGTATGACCTGCTGGCA